GGAATGCCAGAGCTTAACTCATCAGACCACATGGCCAGCCCCTCATTACCAGCCATCAAAACCAAGATAAACTGTACATTGAACTGATTATCTCAGAGACACAATACTTTATAGGAGAAGAAATAAAGAAAGAAGTAATCCAGCTAATCCCTGGCATCAAAGAGTTTTGATAAGGCGACATTTTGCTATTCATAAAGAATAGAATCTTTGGTTGAAAAACAAACCACTGGGGATTTGGGAGATAACTGCACAACAAAATAAACCACACAAGCTCCTTTCCCTGATGGTAATGTAAATTTATGATGCCTGAAGTAATCAATAACTTGTTTATTCTAAAAACTAGCAAATACATGATCACAAAAGCAAACAATAAAAAAAGATTCAGCAGGTGACATCTTAACCATAAAGAGGCCAGTTTTTTTTGGTGTTGTTTAATGAGTTTTACCCTTTCTGCTGGAAATAAGAAATGCCTTTAACATAAACAACCTCAAGACAGAAGACATCAAACCGTTTGGATAGTCCTGTGTACTATTTCCAGCACTGAAATTACATCTAAGCAGAGACAACCTTGAAGTTTCCCAGTCACAAACAAGTATGATCCCTTTGATGGTTACTTCTGGATTCTATGACACCCTAAGCTCTCAGTACTGGCCAATCATCCCACTTGGATTAAAAGCAAAGGATATACTCAATACTCAACCATGCGGTAAATACATCTTTTTAAGAACAATCCAATAGCATTACTATCTCAAACAAATTGTCAGCATTTAAACAGAACAAAAGAAAAAATTCCTCCACAATGATAGTTTTATGTTCTCATTTAAGGATGAAAACTGAAACAAGACCTTATGAAGATAAAATTATGGGGTTAAATTTCTTGGGAGCTTTCTGAAACATTATCCAACACATTGCTGATTCCTCAACCCTTGATCAAGGTCTCCAGTCGCCCAAGTGGAAGTAAGTCCTGAATTAGGTTAGATGACGTGCAAGATCTCTTCCCTGCTATTTGATTCCACTTAATTATGCAAATTTGAGTAGTCTGTAAATTAGTTCTAGAAGTGTGTTTAAATCTCTGGTAATTGGGGCCTCCATTTTACATTTAAGTGACGTCATACGATTTCTCAATCCTGCTGAAGAAAGGTAACACTGCTCAGCACACGCACGTAGCACCTACTGTATACGCTCAGCACTGGTCCAGTAAATTACAAATGTTAATTCACACACTGTCCAGTATCTGAGCTCTTGTGAAGCTTAAGTAAAAAATGGATTTACCAATAAATTAAAATGAACAATCACACGCATATATTCCTTAAAATCAAAACTACTCATTCCACACAATCAGGACTGCCCCACAAGGGCATGCATCTGATCAGCTAACTTCTTCTGGAAATCCTTCCATCACTTCCAGACCAGTCCACACTCCTCGGTCAGCCAGCAAGGGGTTTCTGCACCCACCACCTGCTCACCCGCCTGGCCACTGCTCCCTTAAACCTTCACTGTTTGCAGACACACCCCACTCTCACATGCCTCTGTACTTGCTGCCCCTTTGCAGGATACACCCTCCATCTCCTCTCACTGTGGCTTCTTCTAGCACTCCACAGACACCGACAGCTCCTCCTTCAGAAAACCCACTCTAATTGATCATTGGGGTTAAGTACTGGGTCTGTTATTCTCAGGAAAGTACAGGGCAGGGCAAAGCATAACTGATGGTTCACTCCTTCATCCTTCCTCCTCTAGGCTCCTGAAAGGCTAGAGCTAGGGTTCCCCCCCCCGCTTCAAGCTCTGTAAGTCCCTGCAAATAAACAGATGATCACGTAAACTTGGTGAGCTCACAAAAAAGCATCTTAGATTTTATTTCTAAAGTACAAAAGGAGTTGCTAAGATATTAGAGGTTGTGTCTATTGCATTACCAAAGAAATCAGGGCGGCTACAGAAAGCTGACCAAAGGCTTCTGTTCCAACGAGACAGCTCTCAGAGAAACCAGAAAGGTCAGAAGTGCAAGAAAATTCAGGTTTCCAGCTGTAAGAGAAGTTGTCCTGTGGCGACAAGGACTTTACAACACTGCCAGATTCAGTGCTGGCTGCCAATGACTTGTAGCCGTAGCTCCAAGGACCTGGACCACTCGGTGGTGGCTCCCCTTAAGGCACGCACTGGGATGCCCTGTGCAAAACCCACTGTTGGGAGAACCTGGGACAACCTCTGGCAGTGACAGCTCTGGCGCCGGGACTGGGCAGCGGCTTTTACTTCAGGCCTGGATAAGGAAATCTATTCACGAGGGCTGGCATCTAGCCTGGCAAGTAAGATGCTCATGTCCTGCTTCAGAGTGCCTGTGGTAAATTCCCAGCTCCGGCTCCTGGCCGGAAATGCCAAGATTCTCTGGGCAGCAAAAGGTGGTGGTTCAAGCAATCGGATTCCTGTTTCCCACCCAGGAGGCCTGGATTGAGATCCTAGCTCCTGATCTTGTACCTGGCTTCATTCCAGGCACTTGTTTGGAGAGTGAACTAGCAGATGGAAGTACTCTCTTTCTCTCTCTCTACTTCTCAAATAATCCATCCATGTAGCTAATTTTTTTTAAAGACTTACTCATTTTTATTTGAAAAGTAGATTTTATAGAGAGAGAAGGAGAAACAGAGAGAGGGGGGTCTTCCATTTGCTGGTTCACTCCCCCAAATGGCCACAATGGCCAGACCTGAGCTGATCTGAGGCTGAGAGCCAGGAGCTTCTTCCAGATCTCCCATATGTCTACACGGGGGCCAAGGACCTGGAGCATCCTCTACTGCCAGGGCCAGTTCTCCCAGTGCCCCCAGTCCTCCCAGGCCATAAGCAGAGAACGGGATTGGAAGTGGAGCAGCTGCGACTAGAGCCAGTATGTATGTGGGATCAAGGTACCAACAGACAGAGGATTAGAACGCTACACCACTAAGCTGGCTCCTAGTCATGCTCTTTAATTTGAACCCTACCAATTCATCTGTACCTCACAGGAAGTCAGAGTCATTCGTCTTAACCATGAGGTTTTAGAGGACCAAGAGGCCTTCTGCCCGAGTGGAGAGATGTGAAAGCCAAGGAAGCTACCGAAGTGGTGATCCCCCGAGCAGGAAGAGGGGGAGCCACCTATCTTCCATAGCAGTGGTCCTTTCCCCCACAGATGGGCAGGAGGCTCTGGGCACCTGGCCAGAGCCAAGCACCACCCTGTGGCTCTCTGTTTCTGTTCCATCCTTCCTCCACCCAGAAAGTCTTTGAGACGTACTTTAAAACGCTGCCTGTGTCAGCAAAATCCAAAGTTGGGAAACTCTACATGAAAAAGCCATGTTTTCAATGAGTAGATTTCAGGGACAAACAAATAAATAAATGTTGGAGGCTATAAACTAACAAACCTTTACAACACTGGGTGGCCTCCAGGCAGAGCCACTTCAGACACTGGTATCCCAGTCCAGAGAGCTTCTTTCAAGTTCCAGTTCCTCCACTTTGATTCAACTTCCTGCTAATGCACATGCATAAAGCGACACACACATCTGTAGACACACACACACACACACACATTTCCTGAAAGGCAACTGGAAGACTAAAAAAAAAACCTAAAATTCTTAATTTTTAAAAAATATAACACAGTCACATTTTCAAAAGAGCCCTAACATCCTGCAGGCCCATTACTGAATTTTTTCATTAATAAAAGAAGATTCACTTTAAAATAATTTGGGATTGGGAAGAGAAGAAATAGTCTACAGATAAGGCCAGCTTGGTGATGACCTGCCAATTGCTAGAGCTAGGGAATTCATATCTGATTTTTTTCTGTTTGTGTATAATCAAAGTTTGCACAAGGACATGAGAATATTCTTCCTAACCAGGTGAAAAGTAAAACAAAGAAACGGTGCCCCCAACACTTCAATTTTCACATGGAAACAAGACAAAACGGACAAGGAAAAGTGGCATTTACCAAACATTAGTTCCAAGAATAGAATAGTTCCTTAAAAGCTTGGCATATTAAATTTTCTATCTGGTAATCTAACTTTAACGTGTGCTATGGTGTCCCTTAAATTAATTCCCTATCTTCTATTCTACAAAATCAAGTGTTGGTTACAACTACAGATTTAAATGTTCTCTGCTTTCATATTTTCACACACACAGATATAAACAGATGAACCATCACATCACCAATGCAAGCTGAAAAGGTGGGACATATTTACGCTTGTGAGAATCTGTAGCTTGCCTTTATTTCACTGAAGTTGGTGACTACAAGATAAGTTCTGTCTTAAAAGATACCTCAAGCACGTGAACTGCCTGCAAGGTTGATGTATATAAACGCAAGAAAAAAATCTACACAGCCCAACAGAGGCTTCCCGAAATGAGCCAAGAAAGTCACAATTCCCAGGAATATTTGTGAGTATGTAAAACTGATCCACATCCACATGCAATGACAAGAGTTTCTGAAAACACGATTTACAGATGCTCGGTAAACACTGTCCCAACGGCACCAAGAGGAAAGGTGGGAGAGGGAGGTGGCTGGCACGTGTCGGACACCCACAAACTGGAGGGCGCCGAACACCCTGAGGCTCAGACGGCTGTGACTGTTGGCATTTCCCTACGGCGTCTCTAGCCTTGTTCTTTCTCGCCAGTCCTACAGTGTCAATCTCAATGGTTACCACAAGAATGATGATGCAAACTGCGCAAATACGCTCTCCCTTCTCCCCTACGCTGTTGCCGGCAGAAGGGGCAAGGTCTCCTGCCTGTACTCCACTCCGGTCAACCACACCACCTCCCCTCCACCAAAGCCCTCACCCTGGAGTTCTCAGGCTTTCTGTTTATGCGGGTCCACCTCTGCCTGCTTTTCCACAGGGACCGCCATGCATGCAAGGCTCCCGGTAGGACTGCGCCCTTCATTGAAGACACAGCGTCTCCGGGGCAACCGAGAGCAAATGCGCGGGGTCAAGGCTGAGCAAGGCTGCACAGGACTACTCTCCCACCCGCGATCCCAGTCTCCAGCCCTGGACCATGCCTCTCACCTGCAGTCCCCCAGGGTCACCCCGTACCCGCGTGTTGAGCTCATCGTGCTGGGTCTCATCCTCGCCGCCTGAGCGGTAGACCAGGCGCAGGGGTACAATGCTCTGGCGCTCCAAGAAGCGGTTGTCTCTTCTCCTCTCCAGCTCTGCCAGCGAGACGTCTCCTGCTAGCAGGAAGGGGTCAGTGGAGAAGGAGAGAAAGGGCAACGAGGATGACACAGACCCTCACTCCTCCGCGCAGCGCTCCCGCATCTCCCGCTGCTTCCTCCTCCCTCCAGGACCCATCAGGGAAGGACGCAGTGGCGCGGGCTGGGAGCCTTGGAGCATCTCAGCGGAGAGCACCTAGGCTTGGGGCCCAGTAGCCAGAGCACCCCTTCCCCACCCTCCCCACTCCTCCTTTTCACGAGGAAAGCACACATTCGACCAAAGATTTCCAAAGCATCTTCCCAAAACAGTTTTTTTCCTTCACTCCTCAGCACCATTCCTAATATCAAAATCATCATCATCAACCCCACCATCATCTCCCGGCGCACTTGGGAAACAGGGATGCTTCCCTGTGACATGCGCCTGAGGACTCCCAGGATTCCCGAAGCCTGCGAGGTGGACGAACTCACCTGCCCGGCCGCAGCGCGCCGGGGGGCAAGTCCCCAGGGCGCAGAGCAGCAAGAAGGGCACGCACGCAGCCGCAGCCGCCTGCATGGTGCAGCTGTCAGCCTGCCTGGCCGAGACGCTCAGCTCCTCATGCCCCGTGCGCCCAGGCCGGCTGCCTCGCTCGGCGCTCCCCGGCTATCCTCGGCCGCCCCCTCCCCGGCCGCTGCTGCGGTGGCCGCTGCTGCGGTAGCCGCGGCGCTGCAGCCTCCACCGCGCTGCCGCCTCAGTGCTGCATTGTGCTCCGCGGGCGCTTCCGCTGGCGGGGGGAGTGAGCCAGTGCTGCATTGGGCGGTTGGCAGTAGCTAAGTGGCTTCTGGCGCCTCCCACCTCATCCCCCTGGCACAGGCTCAGGCGGGCGACGAGCGCACGGCGGGGCGCGGGCGCACTGTGCACTCGCCCCACGCGCGCGGGCAGGGGCGCACGCCGGGGAGCCCGCCGGGAAATGTAGTCCCGGCTCCGCGTGCGCCCGCCTGCGTGACGGCGCTGGCCGCGGCTGCCTCGTGAGGGCGAGGCCCTCTGCCTCCTGCGGGCCCCGAGGAGGAAGGGGCAGCGGGAGAGGGCAGGCAGGCCCCCTGGCATCGGGCAGACCCGGCCGTGGCCTTGTCGCAGCCGGAGAGGCTGAAAGGAGCCCCGCGGGTGAGTAGTAGCAACCGAAGTGATCCAGGCACCTCGCGGCAGGAATACAGTAAGTTCATCACTGGGCCAGTTTGGGCAGAGGGTCTTCTGGGTGGCGGTTGGCAGCCATGAAGGGTGCGTGTGTTAGACACACTCACTCTGAGACACAGGCAACTGCAGAACGCTTCTAGAGGAGGGTCAGTCCCAGGACAGTTCCCTGGTGAATGTCTACCCAGGGCCCCACTCTGCGGGCATTTTCCTCAGGCACACCTGCCTATCTCAAACCTGGATTGGGAAACGTGGGGGAAACTACTTTTCTCACGCTGCTCGTTCCATTTTCTTCTGATTCCAGAGGTTAGAATTTTTTTAATGTACTTGTTTGAGGGAGACTATCCTATGCCCAGCTGGGGCTGGGTCCGTCGGAAACTAGGAGGCAGGAACTCCATCGAGGGGCTCACACGGGAGAAAAGGAGTTAGCAGGAGGCTGGACCACAAAAAAGTAGCAGGGACCAGCACTGCGCAGTGGGATGTGGTGACCCCAGCAGAAGCTCAATACATTGTGCCACGAAACCTGCCCCCCACCATCACCTGTTGTGTTAGAAATCTTGAGCATAAAACAAAAGCAAAATAATTGCCGAGATGTTTAACACATGCATGATATTGTACAGTCTTCCAGACTTTACATACTCTTGTTATCATATGATCTTTAAGGTCAATGATTTCGTAAGAATTATGTCCATTTACAGGCAGAACTCCCATCTGCTGAGGAACTGCTTAAATACCAGCCAATGTTCAGGCTGAGCTAGCATGAAGCTGGGAACCAGCAATCCAGTCCGGGGACCCTCTCCAGGGGACCCAGTGAAGTGAGCAGCACCTGCTCCTCGGCAGGTGTGCGTTACTGCCAAGCTGGCATGGGGAGCAGGAGTCGGATCACAAACCCAGGTACTCCAGGAAGGGCTGCAGGCTTCTTAACTGCCATGTCACACGAGGTCCTATACCCACACGAAAAGTTTGAGAACTGTGCCATCCAAATACAGCAGCCCTTAACCACATGTGATCACTCACATTTAAATGAAGTAAAATTAAGGTTCGAGTTCCTACATCACACCTGCACATTTTCAGTGAACCCAGTTCTGCTGTGTTGGCTTAGCTACTGAACATTCCCATGCATCGAAGGAAGTGCTGTTGGACAACACTGACTTCCGGAACTGAAGCCATGTGGCCCGAGGTCCCATGCCAGGTCGTGAGTAGGCTGGTGTTGGGATTTGCCACTTGAAGGGCTGAGCTCTTCCCACACCCCTTTACTAGAAACCCGTTTCTGTGTAACCCTCACCCTGCTCCTGCAGAACACAGACAAGAATCTTCCATATAATATTCTTTGGAAATGCTTTTCTCTTTCCCAGAAGATTGGCTTTAACTCCATGCTTCGTGTGACTTAGTTGTAGTTTTCTTTCCCTTCCTGAGGGTCTGAAAGTATATCCCAGTATGTCAGTGTCTCAGCTAAACTGTTTTCAAGAATTCGTTATAACTCAAACATGTTATTGCCAGCAAATAATAGACGCTTTTTCTTGTCCTGAATTCTTGCCTAAGAGGACATTTTATCATATTTTGGTGAGGACATCCATTAAGTTTATTATTTTAATCCCCCAGATCTTCTAATCAGTGACAGTGAGAACCCAGTGTAGTGTGTACAGTTGTGAGGGCAAGCCTCGTGTCCAGGCGTGAGGATGGCCCAGTCCCACACTGAAGTGCCTGGGTTCCACTCCTGTGGCGGTTTACGCCACCTTCCCAGCCAAGGCTCAGGCAGCTGGTTTCCTGCCACCATGGAGGATCTTGGCTCTAGATTGTCAGCTTCAGCCCAGCCCCTGTCTTCTCAGACAGTTGGGGCAGTGAAACAGGATGGGCGTGCATTCTCTTCCAATAAATTTATATAACTTTAATTTCAAAAAAAAGACATGCAACTAATACATGTTAGGCCTTAAAGCAGACATTTTACAGTAGGTAAGAAAGATAATTAGAATGCAGTACCTGGACACCTTTACCTTCCTCCCATATTATCACAGATCCATTTTTAACAAAGTTATCTAACCAGAATGGATGACCAAACTGCTCTACCTATACTGTTTAGTTTTTTTTTTTGTTATATTTGAAATATTTAAATAATTTCATAGGATGAAATCATCAGCTCGATATAGTAAGTTAAACGTTTTCTTGAAGAGGCTTGTCTGGTGGTGCAGATGAAGCTGCTGCTTTTGAATGCTGACATCCCAGAGTGCAGAGTCCCGACTACTCACTCTGCTGCTGCGGCAGCTTCCTGCTCATGCGCCCAGGAAACGGCAGAGACGGCTCCCACCCGCCCCGGAGGCCGAGGCGCAGCTGGCCTCGTCCCAGCCCGGCCCCAACGATGGCAGTCATTTGGAGAGTGAACGAGCACGTGGAAGATCCCCCTCACTGTTTCTCCCTGTTACCTCTGTAACCCCTTCAGACACATGAATAAATCTTTAAAAGGACGTTCTTCAGGCTTGTGTAACTGACACAACTGACAGGACTCCTTAAATAGCGCAAGCATGCATGTCGCACAGTCGGAGGTTTGAAGATGAAGGCAAGTTCAAGAGGGCTACTTCCCAACCTAGACAAGCAGCCTTTTTTTTTTTCTTAAAGATTATTTTTATTGGAAAGGCAGATATACAGAGAGGAGGAAAGACAGAGAGGAAGATCTTCCATCCATGGTTCACTCCCTAAGTGACTGCAGCAGCTGGAGCTGAGCCAATCCGAAGCCAGGATGCTGGAGCCTCTTCCAGATCTGCAGAGTCCCAAGGCTTTGGGCTGTCCTCAATTGCTCTCCCAGGTCACACGCAGGAAGTTGGATGGGAAGTGGGACCGCTGGGATTAGAATCAGCGTCCATATGGGATCCTGACACGTTCAAGGTGAAAACTTCAACCATTAGGCTATTGCGCTGGGCCCAGCCTTATTTTTGCCCTCGGACACACTGACTCCATCCTGGTGGTTCCACCCTTATGACTTCATTACCTTCCAAAGGCCTCATCTCGGAGTAGCATCACTGTTGTGCTTCTACAAATTTAGGAAGACACATTCAGTCCTCAGCAGGGAGTAAGACGCTATCATTTGTCAGATTTGTAAATCTGAATCGTTAGGTGCCTGGCATGTTTGAGCAAACAAGTAATGAGTTGCAGACTGTTTTTTCATTAGTCATGTTCACAGTGTTTAATGTTTGGGAAATTTACTCTGCCAAATTTGTAAGTTAGTTGAATATTAATCAAAGAAGAAGTGAAAATGATCATGCTTCACAAAACATTAAGATCAGCAGCTGAGAGTAAAAGCGTAAGGAAAGCAATGTTTTCATTGTACCAGAGTATTGCTGTAGTGCGCGGGCACCTGCTTCAGGCAGCAGTGCCCAGCGTGGGGAGGGCAGGGTGCTGCTAAGCATGTTAGATGTACTACATGCTTGGGGAACTGGCGGCTGCTCCACCCGCCCCGGGCCCTTCAGCAGACAGTCCAAGGAACTCAGAGGCCTTCTTCCTTCCACATCACCAACTGCTTTTTGTCATGGTTCCTAATGAGGCGTTAAAGGAAAGGGGCCCTCGGGAGACAAGGAGTCTGAAACAGAATCATGGTGTTGGTTCTTAACTATAAATTATCTGAAAAAGCACTGAACTATTTGTATCAAATACAAGTTATGCTTCAATAAGGTTCTTAGAAAAAGAATGCAAAGGTTAAGACTTCTGGTGTGGACGTGGCAAGCTCCCAGCTGTCAATCTTGTGTCGTCTCACTGCTCTAGAAGAGGGGCACTAATCAAGGGAGGGATAGAAGAGTGACCATGGGAGGTTTTGACTACAATAGTCATATGCTAGCTCTCATTTCTACCTAGCAATTCTTTTTTAGCATGCATGGATTAACTCTTCTATTTTTACAAATGAGGACTTCTGCAAAGTAGGGGCCTAAGAATCCTGTAATTTCTCCAAATGTACTGTAAGCTAATTGAATTTTTAAAAAAGATTTTTCTATTCATCAGGGAGTTTCAGAGAGAGGAAAGATCTTCCATCCACTAGTTCACTTCCCAAATGGCTGCAACAGCCACAGCTGGGTTATTCTTAAGCTAGGGGCTTCCTCTGGGTCTCCTATGTGGGCGCAGTGGCCCAAGGACTTGGGCCATCCTTCACAACCTTCCTGGGTCTTTAGCAGGGAGCTGGATCAGAAGTGGAGCTGCCGGGACTGGAGCTGGCATATGGGTTGCTGGGGCCTCAGGTGAAGGCTTAGCCTGTTACACCTTGGTGCTGGAACCAAGTTAGTTTGAGTATTTCAATGGCAAGATACTGGAAGTTGTAAAGTCAATGTGAAGGTTATGTAAACATTTACACTGATCTCTATATGTACACATATTCAATACTTTTTAGATCATCCTCAACTGCTTTCCCAGGCCACAAGCAGGGAGCTGGATGGAAAGTAGAGCAGCCAAGAGTAGATCTAGCACCCATATAGGATCCTGGCACATGCAAGGTGAGGATTTTAGCCACTAGGCTACCATACCAGGACCATATTTATTAATTTTATACTAAAAAGTTTTAAATCAAATTCACAGGCCTAGCTACCTCAAAGAAGTTTGTAAAGAGAAAAACAAAACAAACTATTGTTTAAAATGA